TTATCAGGCATGTATTTGATCATTTAACAAGATTCCCCATGTGGTATAAAAGTGGTTCATTTAGGCTAAGCAGTGGTGGATAGGTATCATCTGAATTTCACGTTCAGTGTATGGCACGTAAAGGTCACGACGACATAGACCGTAGACCCAAATTAACTTCATTTTGATGATATCCTTCTGGCAAATATCAGATATAACATCGTTAATATTAGCTTAATTTGTAAATGAGATTCCATTTCCAACCACGTACAGTTTCGTGTTGAGGACGTTGCGTGCTGAGGACGACAAAATACTTTCAGTGTTTGACTATCGATTTCTTCGGAGCATTACTCGAAGCTGGTGGGATCACCGGATCAGCACTTCTGAAGTACCTCGAATGGCTTCCGGAAGACCGTCTATAAATGAACTGATCACACTGCATAGGTTGCACTGGCCTGGCCACGTACTGCATATGCCAGTCGACCGACTTCCTCATAGGGCACTTTTCGCACAGGCAGGTAACGGGTGGAAGAGACCCAGAGGCGGTCAAACAATATCTTGGCGGCGAAGCATGAAAGCCATTACCAGCAAACTCCGCTGCGCTGGTCATTGCCCTCTTCCTGGATGGGGACCTCGAGACGGGCCACATCAATGGTTAGAGACATTGTTGACCCAGTTGTGCCCTCAGCGGTGCTCATGCATAAAGATATTGCTCTAAATGCATAGCTTCCTTGCGAATTCCCCCACTTAGAAATCCACTGACAGTGCTGCATTTACGCACCAATTTATCAACTCCCGCCTCCAATGCACAGCTATTTATCCCACCTCCCCAAATCATCGATGAACGAAACTGCGGCAGCTACAACCACTGTATGACGAGTACGCAGTTATTACATTTGACAATGATGCTGATGATTAAAATTTTTGAAAAAAATTGTTGAAATATGTATATTTAGGCCTATTTGTCAGGCGTAAAAAATCTAGGCATGTATCTTGCTGTTGTTGGATTGCTTTTAATCCCTGACTGCGGGTGTGATTTTTTTCAAAATTATAACAAGTTCTATCAGAATGATTTTTTTGCGTCTCACATTTTTTGAATGGAATTAGTGGCAGGCGACCTTCAATTTCTTGGGGACAAATTTGGATATTTCACTATGGAAGGAACAATCCATCACTGTTTCATCTACTCGAACGTCAGAGCATCGTTGTTAATGCTTTCTGACGCATTGTCAGATCATATTCCGTAGTCTGGGATTTATCGAAGAGACGAACATACCAAACCTATCATCTGGTTAATTTAGTCATACGTTCACCATTCAGCGCCTTTTGCTCATATCCGGATCTATACCTAGTAAACATTTGCCTACTAAATAATTATTAGTAACCCGTAATTATCCCTAATAATTTAACTAAGCGCCAATTTCTCGAATTTCTCTATCCAGCATCGGACACCAGTAATTCGGGTGCTCGCATCTAAGTCCAGTCGCCAAGCCTTCGTGGATCAGGCTATTCTCTACTATTACCATTTATTTTTGAAGAGCATGGTCACAAGCATACAAAGTGAAGGCATGCGATGAATGCGAAGGAGTAACAGGAGAATATGGGAGAAAAGGGAGAAACGTCTCATTCGAAATCATGCCAAGAACAGTTCCAGTTTGATGAGATGGATCCCAGTGTGTAAATATTTTGATATGGAAACACGCGTCTAAAGATCAACAACCGAAGAAGGGACAAACAATGGTGAATGCTTTTCAAGGCGCGGTAGGCGCTAGCACGGTCAAGACTCGCACACAAGGCACAAAGTTTTATCGCATTACCTAGTATTTAACTGATTCATCATCCGTTAGACTTCTTCTGATCTGGATTCTGAACGCCGTAGCACTTTTTTTAAGCTTATAGCCCTTGTAGGCTTACATCCTTCTCGCAGTGCAACTGGTCCAGACTTCGTACGTTTCCCTAGTATAATAAGTACGCTAGATTCCAGGTTTCTTCCTTGCCTTGTCTGCTCGTTCAGTCTACCTTTGCAAAACGTATAGTCAGAATGCCCTTTTTGCCTCGGAGTTGAGGTTTCCCTCTTCATACATCAGTTCAATGCATAGTTTGCTCAACCCCATACTGCACGTCCCACAGGATATACTTTTACTGATATTAGTACCGCAAACCCTATGGCGATCTCGAATAGCGATAAGGTCAGGTTTGATGAAGGACGCCGAAGTAGGTGCTCTCAACTCCTCGAAGACGGTGTATCCCAGTCGACGGAGACCAGACTAATCTGAATCCATTCATGCTGCGAAATCATTTAGTTTTATTTATTATTGAATTTTTAAAGTGACGGGATGTTGCGTGCCGCCTCGGATAAGTAAAAATAAACTTTGCAACACTGACACGTATGCTTCGATAATTTCCATAACTCTGGAAGTCGAGGCTTACTTGCATTTATCCTGAACTGACAACTGCCTCACCTGATGAGAAGCTGCTTCTTCTCCAAATAGACTCCCCGAGCAAATTCTTGATTGCTTGAGCATGCATAACGTTTTATATGTTACGAAGTTTTGTTCCTTTGTTGAATGCTGATGGCTGTCTTGATTTCCGACTTGGCCACGCGGAGACGACTTATCTGTAAACTTTTCTACATTTAACCACTACACCTCTCTATTATAAAACCCTTGATCTCACAGCGAAACACATCGAGGATGAGTATGAGGTGCTCACAAGATCACCTGCTTCAACGAGCCTCTCAAGCTCAATTATAAAGCGTTATACCTGAATTGATAGACTTTCAATGGACGTTAAGTGTACGCCTTTAATTGACCATGCAAGACGTCTGGAATCACCCAAGGAGAAGAAATTTAGCCCATAAGAAGCGGTCCTTGTGAATTTAAGTCCATCGAGGTCCTCATAAAAACTGAGTTAACACAGCGCGAGAGGCTTTATGTAGAAACATTTTTGAGTGAAACGGTCTGCTTTAAATTGAGGGTATAGTGATTTATTTGCTACAAAAAATTTCATGCTACCAACAGAACACAGGTAGTTTACCCATAAACGAGAAACTATCACTTGTCATTGAAGGCTTCCATATGAGAAGTTATTACCCGATAAGCTAGTAAGCACGTGATCACGTGATGTACGTCGCGTGATGGTAGGGTGCGGCGATATATCACGTGCAGGTGCACACAGCTGTATATCCAACAGCCAATTGCCTGAATTTCCTGAGTTTGAATCTTTCTGGAGGTTCATGAAATGCATAACTGATTCACACAGCAGTGACACAGCCGTACGTTGTTTCTCGGCTTTTCGGTATAGATTACTTTTATCTGAAGACCGAAATCTCAAATACAATGTCGAAGCGTCCTAATATTACGAAAAAATATTGAATGTGACTGCCTCTGTGGTAAATTATTCCAAAACGAACTTGGAGCAAGTCAATCAACAGCTTTGTTTTCTTCTGGCCGATGTGTATCATTTTAATCTGAGTTCGGTATTGTAGTTGCTTTCTGGATCTTAAAAGCGCACGCCAGGGTTGATTTCGGTATGATGTATGGTCGAAATTTCTTTAACCGGAGAGTTCAGAAGAATGATGGTGCAATTTATCTTCCCCTATAAATGAGTTTTTCAACGCCCAACCATCTTCTACTTGAATTATTGTTTCTTTGATTATATTCCATATGAAACATGGATTATGCGGCAAAAACCGTTCGATCACTTGTTAGTGAGCTTGGCTGAATGCTTTCAAATTATTCTGACTTTAGCTAGAGAACACATCCACCAAGAATGGAACGACTTGCTGCTATTTTCTTACTAGTAGATACTATCAATTGGGGCTTTATTTTCCAGAATGTGAATACCATTGCTTGCCTGGTATTTTAAACCTAAGTTTAATTACGAATTCTGTCTTGGGCTTCTCTGTCAGACGTCATTTGCTTAAATATCTTGGTGCTAATGCTGAAGCAATCCGGTCGCACCTGACCTTCAGTTAAGCAACAAGTAAGTTCCAATAAATGGTATTCAAGCTGAATTCAATTCCAGTGAGACATTACCACAAGCCTTTTTCTTCGTTTATCGGTATCTACAGCTACTGGTTACAAAGAGCCCCGAGCTACTAACTTGCATGAATCATTGGTGAATTACGCATATTTACAAGTGCAGTTGATGTGAGAAAGATGACAAGATGAACCCCAGTTGAATCGGTTGTTTATGATATTCTTCAACTGGAAGTGTCACAAAAGGGTCATCTTGTGTTTTAGTTTTTCCTACAATCGAGATATCACAATGCATTTCCTTTACGGACCATTAAACTCACGGGGTCTTTGAAATTCCTCGATTACCTACCACCGGGTTCACCCTCGTGGAAACCCAGTAGGTGGGCACCGTGGAAGGGTTGTTATTAAACTTGTGAATGATGTTTTTTTTGACAAAAAATAAACAGTAATCCTGGCCTCATCAATCATAATGTTCCCATACTTTTACAGTCATTAACTAACATGTGTTTTTCATTGGTATTTTCCAGTTATTATGCTCGCAAGTGAATGATGCCAATGCAGAGGTAAGTCGCAGGCAACTTCTCCCATCGGATGCTTGGAGCCTTAAGTGTAAACGCAGTAACTTGGTGGGGTTTTATGGTTAACCGTTTCCGACATTAATCTAGGATGAATGCCCATCGAGGAGTTTTGGCATACGAAAAGCTGCCAGAAAAAAATAACATCCAGCGTAGATAGTCGTTGGCTTGTTCGCTGAGCTGGGCAATATGATTGCAACCACCAGCACAACCACTAACCCACCGCTGCGCACAATTACGCTCCCCAATAACGCACTTATGATGTCACCTCGATTGGTGATGAAACGTTTGCAATCAAATCGCCCTGCTCAGCAAACAAGCCAACGACCATATACGCTACCTGAGCTACCGACATTTTCCTCTATAGAAAACACATCCAGCATGTATTGACCCTTGAAGATGAGGTGCATTGCTAAATACATGGTTATCAAGTCAGAAAAAACTAGCAAATTTTCGAAATCTTTGCATTTTTGCTGCATTTTCTGGATATGTGAGCACAGTAAAATGTACTGCTGTGTACCACAAACCTTCAAAATACAAAAAGTATAGAATAATGAAAGTCGAAAAATGCTTCGGTCACCACTGTTCGTTTCACATAAACTTGAAGTAAGTGTACAGCAAGCAGGAGGCTAACGGTTAAATGCATGCACCTGATTATAAATATCAATAAACATTTGAAGCACTTTTTTCCAGTAACAAGGTTTAGCATGGTTCACATCGTTCGATGGGTGGTTGCTGGCTGGGGTTAAGGAAGCCATGGAACATTCCAGACTGGTTCAAAGTAACACATGTCAGACTAATTATTCCATAAGCAATCTTCATATATACACTCATCTGAAAAGCAGTCTGGTTTCGACGAGAGACTCATTTGGAAATTCGAGTTCAGGTGGAACATACTTTTGATAGAACCTCGGAGACCTTGCCGATGCGATGAGCCGCAAGATGGACGCAACGTTTTTTGGGCTGTCAGGAGATTCTAACAACGTTATGAGTAGTGCCTTAGGCCTCCTCTGGTCCTACTATTCCCGCTGGCTTTGCTGTGTTAGTTATTGAGTTGCTTTCTATTTACCTCCGCCTGAAGGGAGGCATCTAAGCGTTAACTGCTTCAATATGTAGGAAGAATATAGTGGCCTTATCGTCTGCTTCCTAGCTGAATTTACCGCTCACAGAGAACTTCACGTGGTGCACATACTTGTCTTAACCCTTTTATCCGATATTACCGTCTGAATTTACGAAACTGCTACTCCTACCACATTCCATTTGCTTTACTATTGTGTTTTCCCGCAAGAAAGCAAATACATTCCTGTAGAATCTCACGCGATGAAAAAATGGCTATCTAAACCCCGGAAGGTGGGGATTCGTGGGAAATTTGTCCGGCTTTTTCTATGCAATAAAGCGACATGGTTCGTTGTAACCTCATTCTACATTTAATTTGCTGGTGAGCTATAGCAGGCTGTGCCGCTAGTTTAAATGGAGTATAACTTTGTATAACGGTTGCGCACTACCAGGCTGATTTGTCAATTGATGGGAGCATCCGTAACCCAGGCATTGGCGATCAAATAAACAACTCTGACCTATCACACACCTATTTTACCAATGAAACTTACGTTTTCTGTACACTTGATTTCTGTTAAACAAAAAGATCTCGATGAGTAAAGACGATCCACCAAATTTATATGTCGGGTGCAGCAAAGAGCTCACAACAAAGGCACTCAGAGTTTACCGAGAAAACGGAAGTTGTTTCGACCAGGGACCGCACACGAAGCTCAGCTTTCACCAACCACCGGTAAGCCGAACATCGCAACCTAGTTAACCATGACAGGCCGTTTTAAGCATGTTCTCCCTCAGACTAGGGTCAGCCCTCTGAGTTACAACCTAAAAGCTGACATTCGAGGCCTAGTGAGTCAGGATTATAAGGACCATTTTAATACCACAGAGTTTTCCTGAGATCGAAAGCACCACTGTAACAGAATGGCTTGTGTTCCTCGTTGTTAACTTTAGAACAGCATTAGATACATCACTCTGAGAAAAAAGACAAGGATTATTTCTTTACAACCGACCAGAAGAATAGTATCGTATCCTGTAGGCTTCCTTTAGCGTGTGATAGCAACTTTTGCACAGTGCTTAAATACATCCAAAGGGATTTGATTTTCCAATAGTTGTAAGAGTACATCGGACCAATCAGGTAGTCCCCAACAGCTGACGCCAAAGTTGCATGAAGTGTTTGTTTATTGCCACGTAATCCTCGGAAAACTACGGAAATACAAACAACAAATAAGGTGCAATAAAGCAAACCCCACTGTATCGAGTGCTACTAAACGCTGTCGGTTTCATTCAGCAGTAAGGTTTCCATAGCGCCAGCAGAAGACAAATATATTCCAAGCAGTTTCGCCGTGGTGTGTGACGACTTGGAAATACTCATCGACTGCCTGCTTCATCCAAACATACTGCAGTGCTCAGCAATTCACAGAATGAAGTCAAGTTCACAATAGCCATGCCACTTTTAACTCATATTTATGTTCAGTGATGACCGATATACCAAAATCTGATATAATATTGAAGTATGAGACCCATTTATGAAATAAACGCATTTTTGCAGCAATACGCAAGCAGCATTGTACCTAAGATAGGCATGAGTCCCCGGGAAACTACAAACCTACAAAGAAACATTCAGATTTGGATGGGTTAATCTTGCGTTTTGAGGTTGATTGAGAGCTGATGCTCCTTACAGAACATACTGAAATTTGCTACCCTCTCTTGCTGAAGTATCGATCAGCCTTAGTTGGCATATCTTTTCTGCTGTCTGCAGCGCCTCCAGTCTGCCCTCCCCAATGTTTGATGGCTTTTTACATAAAGAGTCTTGTAATCATCACCAAAATTGCACATAATTGCAAACCTCTCGGTAAACTGATTTTTTTGTAATTTTAAATACACTGAGGCCGCATGGTTTAAAATGAACTTACAGGATATATTTCGAGTTTTTATGACCCTTAGAAAAGCACAATACTGGTTAAAGAAAGCAGATTTAAACGGTTCTGCTCAAGCTGTCACTCAGCATCATTGAAGCATTGGTCTACATCTGAACCATTGGCAGTCGTTTGAGCAACATTGCGAGGATAATCCGCAGGCGTATCCGCTTCCAATGCACAGCTGGCAGGTACCAGAAGCAAATCTATCTAGCTGGCAGTTCAAATTGTCGCAACATCGGTTGAATATCGTGCCATCGCACCACTGACCGAATCCCTTGCATTCAAAAAAAGCGGATCCTGGAGAAGATGAAAGGTGTCCAATCAGGAGTTTGTCTACATGTTAAGTAATTGGTGCTTGTAGAAAAAGTGGGAGAGTTGATCTAAACTCCAGTCAATCCTTAGAGCGTTCTATGAAATAACCGTACTGGCTTGCTTTGACTTACTTTATGAAAAATGACTACCGACCATTAAGCAAACTGAGTGTGGTTTGGATCCCCAGATATACAGCCCAAAAGTAATACTAACAATAACGATAGAGGTTATAAGAGAAATTATACTAGTGGTCAAGCCCATACATTAGACAGCTGTTGATGTGTCTCTCGGATAAATTACCATTCATAAAGTAAATGACAACCTTGAAGATTTGGTGTAGATGGCAATATGGTGATACTGGTCCAACATTTGCCAGCTAATTGTTTTGTTCTCTTCACCATCCTAGGCACATGTAACCCTATAGCCAAAAACCCTATTTACGATATCCATTTTGTTCGTCACTTCTGTCGGTGGGCACAAAGATGCATAACAAGCAAGCGGTTTCCGATTAGATAATAAACGGGACATTTAGATGACAGTGTGCAGCACTTTACTCGCAGCAATAAGAAGATTATCCCAAATATCTATTCGGCAACAGTACAGCAAAATGTGTGGAATGTGATTGCAGGCATATCTGCCTGCAGATGAAGGTGACGAGTAGGATATTTCGTTTTTCAAATATTACCGCTCGTCAGAAAAGGCGCACAGGTCACTCACTCCTTGAATTGCGCGTCCACTAGTTGAAACCAACTTCATAATTACTACGCACTGAGGTACATTAGGACAGATCTAGTATTTCCGTTGATCGAAAGTTTTACTCCAGATTTGTATTCCCCTCAGGCAATGCAAAACCCTTTCTCTATATCAGGCCCCCTCATAGCAAAAAGCTATAATGTGTAACGTCCAATAAGAACGAAGAAATTTTCTAGCGTAGGGGTTCGTTGTCAGTAATTCCCTAAAAGCTTTCCAACTTTGATGCCCTCGCGAGCCAAATTGTTCTCTTTCAAAGCTATTTCCGTTTTACATGTGTTTTCAGCCTCTAAGTTATCTTCTCTGGCGGTCTGTTTATTCAATCGTTCCTCACCTTCGGCCTCCCATCAAACTTGATATTTTCAACTACACCAAACTGGTTGATTGACTTTTGAAAGCCAGCAGATCAGTGCCAGGGCAATCAGATCGCCCGCTTTGACCCTCGTTGTGGTTTGGTTTGACCAGCAGCATTTCGCTCAATAAGACAAGATTTGGAATCAATTGATCAAATCAAACCAGCTGTTCTTACCTAGTAGAGACAAGGCCACTGATGACTCGAATTGCAAGCTGACCTAAAGATTGTCCGGACTACATATTTTAAAATGTTTTTTGTCTTCCGTTCCTTTAGATATCGGCCTGTCTGTCGTGCGGCCGCGAAAAGACCATAAATGAGGATCTTAAATTATATTTCTTAGAGGAAAAATCTTTGATGATCACTGGAAAACTCAGCTAGGCCACTGCCCCATAAAAGCTAAAGCAAGCTGTGTAATGATCGTCTCATGTGCGACTGATTGGGTTTAACCACCGGCGACAACGTGTTTTCAAGTTCTGCTATTGTTCACTTGTTTTCGTCTTACACCTTCCAACGAATTCGGAATCATCACTGTCAGAGTACTCATTCAAAGTTGCACTCACACGCATAAAATCGTGCTACGGCAGTGTTGAACAACAACAAAAATAAAGTCGAATATAAAAATCTATGGTGAAGTTGTGAAATGGAGATATAGAAACCAAGATCTATTTATAACAGTTTAATCAGCTACAGATTCATCACAAGTGGCAGTATGTAACACTATCCGGCGGTGAGTTCAACACCCGTTCGGGATGTCACCTAATTGCTGACCCAATAATCATTATCTACCAAACTTGCCGGGCTCAGCACAAGATTTTTCGTGGAAAAACCCAGGTAGTGTTTATCCGCATCCTGACAGGTGATTGTCATTTATTTGTAGAAAGGCTTTGTGGTAAGTATCATAATATACGCTACAGGATGCATTTACACTAGCTGGTCACAGTCGCAGACGTTCAGTGCAATGAAGGATTATTTGTGCCCAAAATTAGGTTTGTCTCAGTAAACGTGTAAGGCACACATTTACATAACGACAATTAGAGTCGTGTTACGTGTAACAAAAGCAAACCATTTTTAGTTGTTCTTGAACTAACGGAAACATATTCACAAAAGCCTGGTAAAAATTACAGCAAACAATATTTTGTACTCAGAGTTTCCTTCCAAAGAGGTGACCACAGGAGGCCTGATCAGGGATTGTCATTTCTGGAAAAGATTCCTGGTGGAATATGATCTGTGTGACGCTCAATCAACTCTGTACAAAGTTTTTTTCAGCGAAAAATTCAATGACTCTACAACTAGCTTCTGTTCTTTGTAAATTGTAAATCTAATAGGACATGGGCAAAAAGCATGAGAAACATAATTTGTGATGGTACGTTTGCATGGGTAATACTTTTATGTAAAATACCCACTCACCCTTGTGCTAAAACATTGCCAAATCTTCGGGGAAAATGAGGATCTTACGTCAAAGAAATCCCAAAATTTTCAGGTCACAAACTTACCTCTAACAACAAATATGGCAAACAGTGAAAGCAGAATAAAATAGCCCGACATGATTCCCAGTTTATAGTACCCATGTTTATATGCGGGTTTTATACTTCAGCTTGATGGTACAAAGATCAAAACGTAGTTTACAGTACTGTGACAGTTTGATTGTTTGGTCCAACTAGCTGGTACCGACTTGTGTTCACCCGATAAACATCCGATAAGCATCCGCTACAATACCAGCCACATGACAGTTGTTTTTAGACTACGCGAACGAGTGGGGTTAGACAGTAGGTACAAACAACTATGGGTCTAACGCATTTGCGAACATGAATCGTAGTGTTTCGGTTCCCTGTGTCTCGTGACAGAGTGCGCTCGCTATCAGTCAGCAGTGGACTGACCTTGGATCAAGCTTGGAAAGAAATCTGCGACACATTCAGATTCAAGAAGTGGACAGTTGATCTTTGGATAATGATGAATGATCAGCGAGTCAGCTGCGACAACTGACAAACAAGATGACAGTTGATAAGTAAGATTACTGCATTCCAATATCTAAAATTCTTGGAAAATTTCACCAGTCAAATCGCACATCGCAGCTCACGCACAATGCATCTCTCACCCTTAGAGTGCGTAGTCCTAAAAAGTGACTTCTTTGAGTACAAGGAAGAAGTGCTCAGTCTTAAATTTACGTGACTCACAAGGCCTTGACTGCTTTCTATAAAGTAGAGTTACCAGAATGAGACTATCCTGCTAAAGTGTCGTGATACAAAGGAAGATCCGGACTTGACATCTCGGTAATGGGCAAAATGGGTGTTGAAAATTGAGGCTGGATACGTTAATTAACGGCTTCCCCTCAAATTGCATCGTTCTGAATCAGGTTTAGTCATTATCTGTAAACTACATATAGCAAGAATCACCGGAACATACCTCTGTAACTATTTCGCTTTTACAGCTTGCATGTGCTTTTCCTGCTGGAGAAATCGTAGTCAACTGAACCAACGAACTCTGGCTCAATCCACGCTCACATCAACCTATATTGAACAGCCCAACTCCCATTCGGGCACAATCACTCTCGTAAGTCCAGAGAAAAAGGAGACACTAAACATTGGTTTCGCTCTAACTGAAGCTCAATAATGGTGCATACGTTTGGCTCTGTTGGGTTTTGAACACCAAACATCTGACATGCAAGACGGGCTTGTTACCACTACTCCAGCAGCGTACACTGGAAGCAGCTGAATTCGCACGTCTGAACCGGCGAGTGTATTCCTACTCGAGCGGTATGACTGATTTGCTCGACGCCCCATTTGTGCCGAAATGAAAGTCAGGCCACCCTCAAGGACAAAAGAAAACATGTAAATTCAAACTTCGCGGAAGAAAATATCGAAGATAGGCATGTTTGTCTACTCCTGGATGCATATCACGGTAAGTACTAAAACATCACTCAACTAATCAGAACTCACATTTTGGAACGTGCCGTGCAGAACGCAGAGTGCAGCTAGATAAGTCCACAGATAAAAATTCGAAGGTATGTTTGTACAATTCACCAGAAACAAATGGATAAAAAACAGTTTAAGTTAAGGGATGTTTTACCATCCATTCATTCGTCCCCTGAAAGATTATAGCCCTGTTCACCTGAGATAAAAAGCATTTATGAACAAGCACGTTCCACGAATGGTCCACTGCCAAGGATGGCCTACTGTCGCCCCTTATTGGAATGTATATCAATGTCAGCAACTTAGTTAGACAGCCCAGGACGTTTTCTTCTCCCTCACAAACTGTCACCCAACTCAGCTGAAGTCCGAGAACCACTTTTGCGTTTCCCAAATGAGATGGTTTCAAAAACGGACAAAATTTTGGTATCGAAGGAAGCCCTCTACTGGCATATTTTGTTACTTAGATCAGCGGCTTAACTACTTGACGAATTTTTTTACCAACTCAAGCCCATCAGCCAATGATGAGTATCTCCACTCAGAATGTTTAGCTGGCGTCAACGGTGGATTGACTGTCCTTTGTAGGTTACTGGTGAGTACTTAATACGTCAAAGGAGATGAATGTCCCACCATTTTGTGCTACTCAGAAGGAATTTCTGGTGATTGATGCGACAGAATATGTGGATAATTCGTTCCGCCGTTTGATTATTGCAAACACTATGCGCTCATAATTTTCGGTGAGAGAACAAGTGGCATCATGTCACCAAATTGAGAACAAACTGGTTTGCAGCAACAAATTGGTACCGTTCCTAGTGTACTAATTACGTCCGGCAATCAGTTGGGCCATGCTGAATTACGCGGAAAACTCCAAAGGTGGTATCGTCAAACAGAAGTTTATACTATGAAAACGTAAATAAAATGGAGTGATACAACTTCATATCTTGAGAGTATGTCGGGTTTTATACACAAGGTCAACTTACGCTGCTTCCTGTACAAATAAAATAGGTAGCCAACAGTATATCTGCTGAAAGATCACAGCGCGTCAAGACAAAATGTCTGCGAGATGACGGAGCTCGTACTACCGCGTTGGACTGCGAGCTTTATGCAGAGAATAAACAGCGGCTAACGTCCAGATCGAAAACAAAAAGAAGGCAAATGGATCCAAAATGGAGACAAGGAACAAAACGAAGAATTCAGTCTTGAATAATGGGAAAGTAAGGAAAAAATAAACATCGAGACGGTCAAGGCAAAACTTTCTGACTGCCGTAGCATCAGATCATTATTATGTAATTCCAGAGTGGGCCAGTTTGGGAAGGAATCGGGGATATGGTCACGTTCGGCTTATTCTTTATCTGTGGGACGGACAATGCTGACAGAGGTTCCCCCATCCTGGAATGGACAGTAATATTTAACAGTCAGCACCATCTAAACAGTTATCGGTCTGATATATCACTACTGTGTTGACGAGTTCATACTAAAGAGAAGAAGTGCTGCTTAACTTTGGCCGACGTGACATGCAAGGTGAGTAGCCCACTTGACACAAAGGAATTTTCAGGCCTAGGCACGCATGCACCTTGATGGATTTAGCTGAACGCTGCTCTCTGGTAGCGATTTTCGCCACTAATGTCCAATCATCAACTTATTTTTTCGCACCCGTAAAGTAGTCACGACCAAAGTCTTGATTCTTACCAAATTGTTCTTACCAAACGGACGGTTGAACGAATGGCAAAATATGTGCATCACAACTGCGTCGTTATTATCATCTACTCAGGTCATTATTGCCGTAAGTCTAGTGATTAGTTTTCACAGTTTCAGTTCTCTAATTGCACATTTCTATCAGTAGGGTGTTGGCTGTGGAAGAGCATGGAAGCCATTGAATTCAACGCGTCTGTTTGTTGTTGTCTGTTGCTTATAAAGTACTGCATAATTCGATAAAAAAACAATGTGAAACCGAATGAAATGTGAAGCTAGGATCTAGTCTCAGTAAGTTTCAGGGATTCAATGGATAGGAAAATAACAGAATTGCCAAGTCTTATGAGAACCGGTCGGCTTGTACCTTGACCGTGAGCCACAGGTTGTTTACAAATTTAGCTATGACGCTCTACTTATAATAGCTCATTTCGCCACTACTTTGCTTTGGGTAAATCTACTGGGATTAAATTATTTGACAGCACCTAACAAGCTGTTGGGTTGGAGGAGATGAGGTGTGGGGAATGGATACAATTGGAAACGTAAAACATGTATAGGACTTTTGATTTTAGAGTGTTGAAGTGCGTTCATCCGTTTGCTTGCCTAGTTGGGGTCCGCCGATTCGGCCAAATGACTTGACTGTTATCTCACCGATTGTCCGAACACGTTTTGTCCTGACTAGCGAAGGGTTTTATCCCGCCCATAAATATCCTAATCCGGACTCACCTGACACATAAGGCACATAATATGGATACTGTCACTGCCTCTTTAGTCATACATTTCAACTCGAATCACCTCATCTGTGTTACGATATTCTGCACCAACCCTTTGACCTACACTTTATAAGTTAGTGGTCTCATAATAGCCCACATAAACCTAGATAAGATGAAGGGATAGTTAAACGTGCTACTTCAGTCAAACGCCAGTTACTCTTGATTTTCCAAAACCCTGTGCCAGTGAGTTGATGTTGTCCAATTCATATTCCTGTACCGAATTGTTTGCGTTTTGTAATATTTAGGCCCATCACAGTTGGAAATGCTTCCAGTATAAGGGGACGAGCTCATTGTCAGAGCCCTTTAGGGGCGAGAACTCGTGGAGGTATTTGAAGGACCTCAAGAATTTCGCGGAGACACCGGAGACGACGGATGATGAAAGAAATTTGGTGATCTTGAAGACTGTTGTTAATGTCAGGCATAAGTGGCCTCCAGTTAATTGCTTGACTAGAGAATTCGACTCGTTGGTTCCATACCGGGATGCTGTGAAGCGCTTCACGTACGTCATGACAGGTCTGAACCTTCTGAAAGAATGTAAAATTGGTTAGTTCGTATTTCGCTTTAATTGTACTCGCTAATATGCCTACAATGACTGCCGAATTTATCCGTCAAGGAAGCGACAATTCCAAGCACAGGCTATGATATTAGCACTCATGCCTGATAGGAACTATTCACAAACGATTAAAACCCTTCCAGGTCGAACGAAAGTCGAACTTTTATTATAGATATTTCAGTCCCAACACTTCCTTCGGTATCCTATCAAGTTGGCGGAAGATTTCTACAGACGAAGGCAGAATATGCCTGAAAGTAATATGGTTAAGTAAGTTAGTTGTGCGAACAAATCCCTTGGAATATTAGTGAAGAAAATGATTGAAGAGCATCGATTCGGTACTACTTTCCGTAAAGGATTTCCGCAAACGGAATCTGACAGTGATACCCCTCCAGCAGCAGGTTTCACTTAACTGCAACATCCGTGGACTTCATGACATTCACAAGACCCTCAAACAACTATCAGGTCGGATGCTCATAGAAAACAAAAACCGTTATTGTCAGCGACTCAAACGTCAACTCAACGTGCCCAAAGTTCATTTTCGAATGCATTTTGCTTTGTTTGCTAAAGAAATCAGTGAATCATGTCATCTGTAGAGATGATGTTGTTTGATTTACCGATTTAAAAGTGGACAAATCGGAGCGTCTGAAAGCCGTGTTGCTGTGTATCCGAAAAACTGGCTTCCGCACCAGTGAAGTACAGA